TTCCTGTCTTTGGGAGAGCAGTAATAACTGCATTCTGAAGGTATTCATGTATGCAGGATTATACACCCTATTCATGTCAAAAGATAATAACATCAACACCAGGTGTAGGAGACCATCACGGCTGTCCTTATCGTCATTTCAGGTCAAACTTCTTAATATAGTGTCATTCCACTTTAATTAATTTAAAAGTAGAACTAACCCTTCTAAGTTCAGCGTTGAATAAAACCATGCAGGAAAGATTATGTTTGTCAACTGTCTTTGAGTTTGCACCAATTAAGCTTTTTCCGTTTCTGCTTGATAAAAAGATGGATACAGAGTCACCGTCTTCCTTTTCACGTGCATAAAGTATAAGAAATAAATTCAGATTGTTTTATTTGGCTTGCCTTCTTCGTATAGTGTACACGGGTTCTAATCTTCTGATCACTGATTTGCAAACCACTGATCAAGATTCATCAAAATTTATTACCTCTACATCACTAGAAGATTAGCAGTTTCAATATTTCCATGTTCTTGGATCTTGATTTAGAGTAAATAAAAAAAATGTGATGTAATTATATATCTCGATATGTTAACATGAAACGACCTTTCAAAACTACAGTTACTTGTCAGAGTGCATCTAATCACTCTGAGTAAGCTCAGTAACACAAGAACATGACCTTTAGTATTGCTTGAGCAGTGAGGATAATCTGAGAGCAGCGCTTAGTACAATGGGAGTAGGCAATCGAGCAGTCGAGGATGTCATGGATAAAGTCCGGAATAGACATTATCAGGTTTTTACATATAAACAGAATATTCCTCTTATGATTCCATTTCTTTATTCCCTCTTAATTTGGAAATGTGGTTATGCAGTTGGCGTGCACCTTGACATTCGAAGCTATTCACGGCGCATCTTGTGATGAAGGAATTAATCATCCAAATCAGTACTATAATGACAGCAAAAAAGTGCTGGAATCAAGGGTAATTACACACACACACACACACACACTAATAGAATGTTTGAACTAATTAACTCTTGGCTTGAATGCATCAGGATCCAGTTATTTAACATGGTGCGTTAACTTTATTTGTTGTCTTTCTTTTATTTGCAGAATAATTCAAAGGGCACTTAGGAAGTTTATTTGGCATCAGAAGAATCGCTTCAGCTGGCTAACCAAAATTACGTGCAAGTGTTCAAATCTCGAATATTTACATGTCTGCCCTAGTTACATTATCTCAAAACTTGTCTGAGAAAAAGGATAGGATTTCTTGTAATTATTTATAAACTCAGGCCAGTCATCGGTTGATCTATGGTCATCATGCACATATGTCCATCAGCCTGGTGTACGACGACGAGTATTACAAGTAATGTATTATTGCCAGAATTTGACATTTTTTTTTTTGTTGCCGAATATTTTGTTTCCGAGGGCAACACCTAATCGCACCGTTTCATGTAATATTTAACAGCCAAAACGTATCGTCTCAATATGGACTTCCAAACTGCAGCAATCGGATACTACACAGTAAAAAATAGGAGCTACAGGAGAACCTCGTTTAAATAATAATTTTATTTTGGTCCCGACTCGGGTAAAAGCGTACTAAACTATTAGTTTGATAATTTAATATTTCGCTCAATAAATAGAAATTTGCTAGTTTTAACAATTTATAGGGGTTTAACTTAAGCTGTTGAAATTCATTCCATTTAAAAACGAGTGAGTGCTAATAAAAAGAAATGCATAAAGAGATGAATGAAATATGCCCTGCTGATTACTAATTACTAATAAATTAAAGGAGTAAATAGCAATTTGGCTGTTGAACTGTATAAGTTGATTTACACTTTACCGCAGAAATATTTTACTTTGAACACAATTTGCCTTTGATTTAATTAATCTTATATATAAAAGAAAGAAACGCTAGGGCAACCCTAAGAAACCCTAATGTCATATTTGTAATTTGTTTTTTCAATTTTTATCAAATTTTTATTTTGTTTATATTATTTTAAATATTATTTTCGAATTGTATCATATTTGTATCCCCTAAATATTATTTTAAATATTATTTTTTATTTTTATCAGATTTTGTCTCCTAAATAATATTTTTTATGTTTATCAAATTTTTATCTTCTAAATATTATTATAAATACTATTTTTAAATTTATCAAATTTATATCTCCAAAATATAATTTTAAATATAATTTTCAACTTTTAGCAGATTTTTATCTCCTAAATATTATTTTCGAATTTTATCAAAGTTATATCTCCTAAATAATATTTTAAATATGTTTTTCGAGTTTTATCATGTTTTTATTAGTTTTTTATCTCCTAAATAATAATTTTGTTTTTTATCAGATTATTGTCTCCTAAATATTATTTTCGATTTTTATCAAATTTTTATCTCCTAAATATTATTTTAAATAATAATTTTGATTTTAATCATATTTTATCTCCTAAATATTATTCTAATTATTATTTTCGTATTTTATCAACTTTTATCTCATTAACATTATTTGAAATATTAGTTTCGATTTTTATCAAATTTTTATCTCCTAACTATTATTAAATTTTATTTTCGATTTCTATCAGATTTTTATCTCCTAAATATTATTTTTTGATTTTTTATCAAATTTTTATCTCCTAAATATTATTTTAAATATTATTATCGATTTTCATCAATTTTTTATCTCCTAGATATCTTATATATAAAAGAAAGAAACGCTAGGGCAACCCTAAGAAACCCTAATGTCATATTTGTAATTGTTTTTCAATTTTTATCAAATTTTTATCTCCTTAATATTATTTTAAATATTATTTTCGAATCTTATATATAAAAGAAAGAAACGCTAGGGCAACCCTAAGAAACCCTAATGTCATATTTGTAATTGTTTTTCAATTTTTATCAAATTTTTATCTCCTTAATATTATTTTAAATATTATTTTCGAATTTTATCATATTTGTATCCCCTAAATATTATTTTTTATTTTTATCAGATTTTTGTCTCCTTAATATTATTTTTTATTTTTATCAAATTTTTATCTCCTAAATATTATTATAAATACTATTTTTTTAATTTTATCAATTTTATATCTCCTAACTATAATTTTAAATATAATTTTCAAATTTTAGCAGATTTTTATCTCCTAAATATTATTTTCGAATTTTATCAAAGTTATATCTCCTAAATAATATTTTTAAATATTTTTTTCGAGTTTTATCATGTTTTTATTAGTTTTTTATCTCCTAAATATTAATTTTGTTTTTTATCAGATTATTGTCTCCTAAACATTATTTTCGATTTTTATCAAATTTTTATCTCTTAAATATTATTTTAAATAATAATTTTGATTTTAATCATATTTTATCTCCTAAATATTATTCTAATTATTATTTTCGTATTTTATCAACTTTTATCTCATTAACATTATTTGAAATATTATTTTCGATTTTTATCCAATTTTTATCTTCTAACTATTATTTGAAATTTCATTTTCGATTTTTATCAGATTTTTATCTCCTAAATATTATTTTTTGATTTATTTATCAAATTTTTATCTCCTAAATATTATTTTAAATATTATTATCGATTTTCATCAAATTCTCCTAGATATTATTTATAATAATCTGATTTTCGATTTTTTACAGAAAAGGGTAAATAAATCTGATTTTCATCCCTAGCGAATTTTGTGACATCGTTTTACATAATGTCTGCAACATTTGAATTTTATTTCTTCCCTACCTAAGGCTTCTTCTTTTGGTAACTCGACTTTAGATTTTGTTTTTTATCTTCTTCATCCTATTGACTGTGTGGCAATTAGTTTACATCGTTTTCCATCATGGCTTATAGGTAATTTCATTTTCTTAAATTATGTGTTTCATTAATTTATACCAAAGTTTTCAAATTTTATGTATAGCAATTATTTCATTTTATATGTTATTGGACATGTTATTGAAATGGATGATTTGAGAGAATTAACCAAAAATGGGCGGAGCCACAAGCTATTGGAAGTCGACCTTCAAGACTTATTGTTTGTATGCGATATTTAATTTATTGTTTATATTTATTTTTGTTTCTTAATTTTCCAATTGTTAATTCCAGTGGCAAAAACAGCCTGAAAATGAGGCAGTGGAGAAGGGGTTAGTTCCGATGCAAGATGTATAGATGGCCTTTTATGTTGTCGATAGTTTAGTTTTGATTATGTTAACTAAGTTATTAAATCTAATTACTTTTAAGCTCAACATGAAAGACATAGTTGATGATTTTATTCCTGGTTCAAATTTTCAATCTACTGGTATTAGCTGATTCAATTCATTTGGAAAATTATTCAACAGTAAAGTTATTTCCTTTTTTTTGTGTGTAGTATACTTAATGATGTTCCAGTATAATAGAATTTTGATCATACGATACATCAAACGTTTGTTTATATTCTTACAACATCAAAACAATGCAATTTGTTGTCCCGTGCATCGCACGGGTACAATTACTAGTTGTTCAATAATCAATAGCATTCCTTAGAACCCTAGTCAAAATAACATGCATGTGATTTTCTCAAGGGCAAAAATGTCTTCTCCTGTTTTAATGGTTAAAATATTTATCATCGCACTGCACGGTACAAGAAGGAAAATGCCATTCACGTGCACAATTCCAACAAAAAGAGCCGATATATATATATCGAAAAAAACACTTGCACAATTTCGTTGCCCAACATTAGTTGTGTAAATGAGTTGAGCCGGCTCGTGAGCTCGATGAATCGGCTCGATAAAAGTTCGAACTCGAAGTCGAGTTTTCCGAGCTCGAGCTTTCTGACGGCTGAGTTTGAGTTTTTTTTCCTCAGTTGTTTATGAGCTCACGAGCCCTTCTTTTAATTTTAATTTTGTTATATTTTCATTTTAAATATGTAATAATGTAAAATATTATAATAAGGGGTTATTTTACATACCCCTAGCCACCAAATAAACTAGGGATAAACACAAGCCCAAATCATCCTTTGACATATCCCCTGGAGAAGCGAAAGTACTATACTACCCTTATATGCAATTTTCGGCCAAACTGCATCAGCATATATGGTCCTGCATTTATCATTTTCGCTGATTTATTTATTATTTTTTTTTTTTTAAACATGTTTGTTAAATATATATATATATATATATATATATATATATATATATATATATATTTAATTTTTTAATTTTTTAAATTTTTTTTAAATTAAAAATAATAATTTTTTTTTTCTTTTTTAATTTTCAAAATAATATGTTTACAGTACTGAAAATAACTACATGTAACTATAGTACCTATAGTAATTCATAGTTATGTTCGTTTTTTTCCCCATGATTTTAGTCGATCAATTGTGTACACACACGAATACTGACTTATACAAAATAAATTCATAAGACCCCAACAAAAATTTACAAATTTCAATATTTTTATTATAAATCACATCAGAACCAATAAAAAGCAAATCGAAAATACACAAATATACGCATATGTAACTACATGTTACTATAGTAATGTACAGTAATGTATACAGTCTGTTGAACAAATCAGATGTAACTTCAAAAAAAAATTTGACACCTTAAAGGAAAGGATCAATGGCCTTCATTAAGCTGCAATTGCAAAATCAAAACAAAAAGAAATTACTATAGCGCAAATCAACAAAATTTGAAGAAAAACATCAAAACACTCAAAAAATCAACAAACACTAAGAGATCGAGAGATAGATAGAGAGGTTATTGCTGGGAAATGATTCAAATTTTAAATCAAACAGACAGTGACTCATCACCCCCTCACCTGCTACCAAAACCCTAGACGCCGCTAATAACCACCCACGGTTCCGCGCGTCCACAAATGCAAAAAAATATAGAAATAAATCTGAAAATATAAAAATAAACGAAATTACCATCAAAATATAGATCACAACGAGATGAATCAAACGGTGGGTGACCCGTCAAATTTCGACGGGTGGAACACAAAATAAAGCTCCGGCAAGACCACCATCCTCAAAAGAAAAAAAATTGCAGAAACAGATCTGCGCTCGAAACTGAATAAAATCACCACCAAAAGAAAGATCTCGACGAGAGGAATCCAACGGTAGTTAAACCATCGAATTCCGACCACCGGAGAGAGAGTTATGGCTCCGGGAAGCAATTTCGCCGGTGGGAGGTTTGTGGGCGGGATTTTGAATCTGGGAGAAGAAGAGAGAGACCGTGAGTGGCTAGGGTTTAAAACTGATTTTAGAAGGGTATTATAGGAACTTCGGGGTAGCCCAGGGGGTATGTCAAAATATTTTCGAAATGAGGGGGTTTTCCCTAGAGTGTAATCCACTTGGTAGTTAGTTCTATATAATTTGGAAATGAGGGGTCTACAAAATAATCCCTTATAATAATGATACAAAAGTGCATATAAAAATTTACAAAAATTAGTTACAATTATTATTATTATTTTTTATTATAACATAAATATTTTTTAATAATAAAAAATAATAGTACAAATAAATTAGAAGAAAAAAATAAAAATAAGCTTGGGCTCGAGCTCGAGTTTGGGCTTGAGCCAAAAAAAAATTACTTAGAGAGCTCGAGTTCAATAGGCTCGAGCTCACCAAAACAGCCAAACTTGACATGACCTCGACTCGTTTCCACCACTACCCAGTACATGATTATTTATATAAGAGTGCTAAAACTATCAAAAGTTAGTAATACTAAATAAATAAAATAATTAAGAACGAGTAAGAATCAAAGTATAAAAGTAAATGAAATGGAGTGCAAAACATACACACTTATCGTAATTGTGAACTCAAAAAACCAAACCTTTCTCATAAAATTTTACTCCATGAATAAAGAAATAGAATGAAAAGGCACAAATACACCCTGTCCCTTTCTTTGCCACTCATTCATGTCATGTATGTGGGTCCCACCTCCTTCTCCCCCCAAAAAAAATAAAAATAAAAAATCTTGATAGCTTAGTTTTTTAATCACTTGTTACAAAAAGCCACTACCCCAAAAAGGAATGTGACCCTTTTAGTTTAAACTGCAACCATCTCCTTTTCCTCCTTTCTTTAAAGCCCACAAACCTAACTATTTAATTAAAAAAATAAAATCATACCCCACTAATGTATACATACACACATATACATACATATACATACATACATACATACATACAAGTTCTTGTTTTTGTATGTATAGTTTTGAGTTCTTGCTCTTGGGGTAGTAGTAATAGTAGTACATTACATTATTGTAGATTGTTTGGTGGTGGGGATATGATATATGGTCTAATGTGTCTTTTCTTTCTCCTCTCAATAATTTCACACACACACACACACACACACACACACACAAACACAGAATAAATTAAAAAGCAACCCTTTTTGGCTCTCTTATTGAACACACCTTCACCTTCTTCTTCATTTATAACCATAGCCTTTTATTTTTATTCACCCATACCCCTATTCTACTACTTATGACTGTAACAACTACTACTAGTACTAGTCTATACTCTCTCTCTACATCTTTCTTTCTCTCTCACACACTAAAGCACACACAAAAACACACACTAGTCATATCCAGCTTTTGTGTGTAGCCCACTTTTACTGATCCCATCCATCTATAATGGGGAGTCATTGTCAGAGAATGAATGGCTGAGAAGACCGAGTTAGTTCCTTCTCCTTTTGCACTTGTCTGTAAGTTTTAGTTTTTTTTTTTTATTTTTTTTTTATTACACTCTCATTTTCATTACACCCTAATTTAACTAACTAAGTGGGTTATCTATTTCTCTCACTTTCTTGCTCCGAGCTTTCAATACATACTCATTCTGGGCCTGATTTTTTTCCCCTACCTCTTTCACTTTCTTCACAGATTCTTGGATTTGTTTTCTGAGGTACAACTCCCAAATCTCTCTCTCTCTCTCTCTCCCTTTTTTAATTTTTTTTTGGGTCCCTAATTTTTTTCCCAAATTTCCAGTCTTTATCACTAACCCACCACCAGAAATTAAAAAAAGGCTTGAACTTTATCAAAACTGTATTCATTGGGTTTAGCAAACTGCAGTTTCTTTTGTGAATTCTTGATTTGTGACTGTGTGTGTGTGTGTTAGTTTCAGGTTTGATAGTGTTTGTGCTTTCATCAGTATCTTTTGTGAATTCTTGATTTGGTATCTTTTTTATATCCTGTGTCAATTTGGTAATTTAATTTTTTACCTTTCAAGAATTGCTGTATTTTTGGTGGTTAGTTGGTTGGTTGTTGGGAGTTGGGGATGGTGGACTAGACCACTTCACAATTCCTTTTCCCATAAAAATCCAGTCTTTTAATTGGAGACAATTCAAGATTCAATTTTTTTCTTCTTTTTCTTGATTTTGTATGAGCATGTTAATTATTATTTTTTCCCTATGTAAAAGGTTATGATGAGGGTAGCTATATATATCAAGCATTTTAATTAATTTATTTATTTAATTTTCTGTGTTGGTTGAAATATCACAATTTTAGCTGAATAAAACACAAAAAGTTGACTTGAATTTTATGTTCTTTTTTATTTCCCTGCAAATTTAGTTGCATATAGATTAGCATTTCCAATTCATCAATATTTTCCCATTTAAACTAATAAAATCTATAAAAAAAAAATCATTATTTTTTTGTATAGTGTATCTAATCATTCTCCATGGAATCTTGCTAGTTTGATACAGCAGTTGGATGAATATTCCTAGAATCTTGGCAACAGGGGAAGTGGTTGAAGATTGCATCAAGATTGTGATTTGAGATCACACTTTAATTCTCAATCTTTCGTATAAATTTTATTAAAAAAAAAAAACTATTGTGTTACTTTTCGCAATGGAATCGTCTTCGAAAAGGGCAAGAGCACCCGGAAATATGACTCAAATTGCCCATTGTTTGGTCGACGGGTGCAACGCCGATTTGAGCCTATGCAGAGACTATCACAGACGGCATAAAGTATGCGAGACTCACTCGAAAACCTCCAAAGTTACTATCGGCGGTCGAGAGTTGCGCTTCTGCCAGCAGTGCAGCAGGTTAGTACCGTAACTTCACTTTTTTTTTTTTTTTTTTTACGATCTTATTCAATTAATTAATTATTTATCTTGTGGTTTATGTTATGCTATTCCATGATTGGTCAAAAGGGAGTAGATTGAATTTGGAAGAAAAAACCGAAGAATATGTTTCTTTAGATTGGTTCTAAATCATTACACTACAACTTAGGTTAATATTTGATATGTATTAGGGGACCATATATATATATATGGTGGTCCAACATGTAGATAGATCAATCTTGTCACCTATTTCACCATATTGTAGGTATATTGAGTCCAATTGGCTTTTTGTTCGAAAGGGACCGCTTGACGTGTTTGTGGATTTATTACAATTTTTCGATTATGGTTGCTCGAGACAATTGTACTCGATGTTAGTTAGTTATTAAGTTTACTTTCCGAAAACAAACTGAAAATTGTTGTTATCACGAATTCGCTTTTTTTCTTTTCTGATCTATATAGATTAATATAATGAAATCAAATAATCAAATAATAATAATCTTATATATAAAAGAAATAAGCACTAGGGCAACCTAAGAAACCCTAATGATATATTTGTAAAAAAAAATATTTATTTATATATATATATTAATCTCCTATTTTGCATCCACTTTTTTCTAATTACTTTCACACCAAATCTCAGCTAGCACAATCCTAATCCACTGCTTCTATATCTTTTTAATTGTTCTTATTATTTTTCTCTAATTTTTATGTGTTTCATTTATTTTATAATCGGTTTTATATTATGAGAACTAAGTTTATATATATTTTTTTTCGGAATCAGTTTGTATTATTAAATTTGTATAAATATTGATGTTGTTACCAATATCGCAAATAAATTTTATTGTAATTGTTATTTGTCATATATTAAATCAATAAGTATTTTCACGCTTGAAATGCTATCCCGTGCATTGCACGTGAAAAAAATGCTAGTAATAATAATAGTAATAATAATAATTAATTGTGATATTTACAGGTTCCATTCACTGGTAGAATTCGACGAGGGAAAACGGAGCTGCAGAAAAAGACTGGACGGGCATAACAGGAGGCGAAGGAAGCCACCTCAGCTCGACCGAAATTCCGGGCTCGACTTCTCCCACCATCGCAGTACTACCCTCACAGCCACAGGTACAACACCAACAACCAGCCTCGTATCATTCAGAAGCAACACTAGTAATAATAACAACAGTCCACAAATATTGCCAAGTGCCGTAGTGGGCTTCTCTTGGCCCGGCCCGAA